CCCGTCCAGGGGAGACAAAAATACTTGGTAAGAGAATTTATGGATGTCAACTTCTTTATTCCTCATTGAAAAGAAGTTGACATCCATAAATTATCTTCCTTATGTGTATCACTTCTAAATGCCATTCAAAGACAAAAATATTGGTTTATCAGTTTCTAAAGTTTCAATCGATATTTAACCATTACGACACTCGGGCCGTTATTGAGTCTACGTAATCATGTTCATTTTGATCAATGAAATATTAATTATGCAATATTATTACGTATCATGTTCCTTAAACTTCATATCAGCTCCGCATGCAGATAGTAGATATTTTCTAATTTTCTTAGGATTCTAATTCACAGACTAAGCGCCGTGATTCAAACTGCAAACGATCTAAACACTAAGTTTTCCATACAAATAGGTTCTCAATATAAAGATACTGTGTCTAAATTTTATTTGAAACATATAAGCAAAACTTAATGATAATCATCATTTGTTCTCCTGTATTGAGGGGATTCAGGGTCGGAAGTGATGAAAATACGCAAATAGAAACCATACACGCAAAATAACTACATGAGTTGATATTTCAAACTTCTATTCATTCTACACACAGTCGGTCAAAATCCGGTGTATAAATATTGTGAATGATTAGCGTATTTCAAACCGTTTGATAACCTGATATAATTGGAAATAAAATGGAAAGAAATGGAGGTAAAAGGAAAGTTCTGCGTTCCCAAATATTTTCGATGCAGTCAAAACCACAGCAGACCCAAGTTGATAGCAGCGGCTGTATAATCCACATTTGGGCAGCTACAAGTGGACACGCCGAGCTTTTGCAGTGGCAAACCACATCCTTTTCGCAGAGCGTAGGTAATAGATGGCTGACTCGCATGTATATGGAATACTGTGTGATAGAGGGATTTGACGGATTCTTGTGCTTTAAGAAATGTAGAGTGCGAAAACGCATTTTGTTGACCTTGTAAACACATCAAGAATCGCATTACGTAGACTTCTGGTTGTGTCGGATTTTGAAAAAATAGCGACAATATCCTTAATTTCCGTGAAAGGGAGATCGGGAGAATTTGGCATATTTTACTTTTTGATTTCATAGTGTATGATAATACCCCCTTTTGGTCTAGATGATCTTTAAATTTCCAGGAAGCATTAAAGAATTTTTAGGACAGTTATCAGACATGTTAAAAAAAATCAGAGTAAGTCTCTGTCTATTTCAACACTTGCATGTTTTGGACTTATAACAACACGAAATGTACACCCTAAGCTAAAATGTGTCGAAAAGGCTGATTTTAGAGAGTTTCAGAGCACAAGTTTTAATATTTAAACATGAGAACGTTTTGACCCCATCTGATGTATATAAAGACAGTACAGAAACATTGCAAAAACGAAAATTGTTGGTCACAGACCTGCCCATAGTTAGACTTTTTCTTGAAGGTGGTAAAATCGGTCTTTCAAATGTAAGAAAGAAAATGGCTTGATGTCAACCATTTGATCGCGTCATATAATTTTCATAACGAACTTGCAAAGTGTTTCGTAACTTTAAAACTTGACATTTCCAGTGTGCCAGTGGACACTTATACTCCTTTGCACGTGACAAAAAGACAACACCTACGCCTCATGACATGGAGGCGGGCGAGTGTATATTTCAAGTTATATCATAATTTGGTATAATCAAGGCTGTCAATTATGAAATCCCTACACTATATATTTCGAATTCTGATTACAAAATTGTTTCCTGTTGTGATATCCTGCGCTGATTGGTTGGACTATCAAGGTATTGCGCCATATCCCTCCTCCCATGGTAATAACGGGCTATATAGTCCAGGACGACCTTGGTAAATCAAGGGGTGACTATGACAATGCGCTGGGTCAGAGTAAATTAGTATTAATTGGCCGTGCAAGCATCTGCCCACTCACCACGCAGTGTTTTATATGTCAAACCACGTTTCATCACACTGCCTTCACAAAATACCAACAGTTATATGAATACTTTTGATGGTCTTCAAACACGATTCGATATTCTGAAAATATATTTAGATGTTTTGCCGTATATTACGCGAAGACAAAGTACGGGTTTGTTTTACAAGTCTTAAAAGTATCATTGCAGCTCATTTAAGAGAGAGAGAGAGAGAGAGAGAGAGAGAGAGAGAGAGAGAGAGAGAGAGAGAGAGAGAGAGAGATTAAAAAAGACGAACATGTTGATGAACGATCTATAGAGACGTACAAGTTATTGCATGAACATGAGTGACTGAGTGAGTTTATGCTTTACGTCACATCGGCAATATTTCAGCCATATCGTGAGTGTTGCATGAACAGTTCTGTTGTTTGCATTGAGAAACCAAACAGCGCTAAAGTGAAAATTTTGTGATATCTACTGATAATATTAAATATCATTATTGCAGCATTATCACAAAATATGAAATTCCGAAATACTTATTCTAGATATTGTATACCAATTTCTTTCTTTTCACAAACAGCACATACTATATATATAACAAACAAGATAGATAAAAGTATGACACATCTAGACGATAACATAGAAAACATAGTACATGTATGTGTCACGTACTTTATATACAACAAACAAGATAGACATAGTAAAACACATCTAGACGATAAGATAGAATACATAGTACATGTATGTGTCACGTACTTTATATACAACACACAAGATAGAAATAGTAAAACACATCTAGACGATAAGATAGAATACATAGTACATGTATGTGTCACGTACTTTATATACAACACACAAGATAGAAATAGTAAAACACATCTAGACGATAAAATAGAAAACATAGTACATGTATGTGTCACGTACTTTATATACAACACACAAGATAGAAATAGTAAAACACATCTAGACGATAAGATAGAATACATAGTACATGTATGTGTCACGTACTTTATATACAACACAAAAGATAGAAATAGTAAAACACATCTAGACGATAATATAGAATACGTGGTACTATCTATGAGTCACGTACTTTATATACAACACAAAAGATAGAAATAGTAAAATACATCTAGACGATAAGATAGAATACATGGTACATGGGTGTCACATACTTTATAAAAAAGAACCAGATAGATAAAATTAAAACGCCTCTAGACGAAAATATAGAACTATGGTCCATCTATTATGTCATTATGGAAAAGCTACACTGTAGTAAATGTATGTAACATGTAATATACATGGTAAAAGAGGTCATGGGAGAAATACTGCACTACATGTCTATGTAATATTTCATATACATGCTACTTCAAGGTCCCGCTTTGGTACTGAAACTGCCCACAGCTGTGTGTTGCAATGTTTCTAACGGGTTACTTGATTGATTGTGATTATGTGAATGTGGTCTTTGATGTTACCATTTCTTTGATTTCTCAACAAGTGTAGTGTGGTGCTTAGAGCAGCTGACCGTGTGAGTCAGTCTGTTAACATTTGATGCCTGTGGCTGGTTGTTTAGGTTTTTGTAAGTTAAATATCTTTATCATCGTCATTATCTTCACAAATGTCAGCGCTGGCATGTGGGCTTTGTGTACATACATACGTCCGGGATAGGTAAGTCTTACTTGCAATAAAAGCCATAAACGTCATACCAATCAATTAATGTTTATGCATCATATAGGTCATTCAGCCCACAGTTCACATAATACTTTGTGTTATTTCATGGCAAATCAACTATTGATCACAACTATGGCCCTATAAATAATATTAAACATACATAAAACATACATACATTTCATTAAACCTTTGAGATAGTCGTGATTATAGATAAATAGCTAAAATCAGAGGCAAAAACAAACAGTAGCATTTGTCGTAACTAATAACGGCAACAATGCATAACCAACAATAACACAAACCACAGCTTATAACGATTCACATCGAACACAACTCCCAGTTACATACATCATCATCATCATCCATAACCAACCACACCGAACACGACTCAGAACAGCAAACATCAACCAGGATCAAACAAGATCAGTCATTCATACACAGAGGCATCAATGTCCACCATCAACTAACGCCGTCTAACATCAACCTTGTCTGCCATGAACAGCACCAATGCCTAGCATCAATGTCCACGATCCATCAGCATCGAACAACATCAACCTTGTCTGCCATGAAGATCATCGATGCCTGGCATCAATGTCCACCATCAACTAAAGCCGTCTAACATCAACCTTGTCTGCCATGAACAGCACCAATGCCTAGCACTAAATCCATCATCAACTAACGCCGTCTAACATCAACCTTGTCTGCCATGAACAGCACCAATCCCTAGCACTAAATCCATCATCAACTAACGCCGTCTAACATCAACCTTGTCTGCCAAGAACATCACCAATCCCTAGCACTAAGGTCCATCATCAACTAACGCCGTCTAACATCAACCTTGTCTGCCAAGAACAGCTCCAATCCCTAGTACTAAGGTCCATCATCAACTAACGCCGTCTAACATCAACCTTGTCTGCCAAGAACATCACCAATCCCTAGCATCAATGTCCACTATCTACTAACGCAGTCTAACATCAACCTTGTCTTTCAAGAGTATCACCAATCCCTAGCATCAATGGCCACCATCAACCAACGCCGAACAACATCAACTTTGTCTGCCATGAAGATCACCAATGCCTGGCATCAGTCTCCACCATCATTCAACGCATAACAACCTCAACATTCCTCCGCCGTCATACAGCTGGCATATTTCATATGATATAGACAAACCAGCAACAGAAGCAACACCACCTAACATCATTCAACAACAATAACATTCATCACAAATGAAACCAACAAGGTAGGCCATCACAAGCAACACCATCAACCTACGATGACTCCACACACCCCACCAACCTGCGCATCAAGGAGCGCCTCATTATCCATGGCAACTGCTAATGACACACCGATACGTACACGAGGGTCAGATGAAATGTGAAGCGAAAGATCAGGGAGAAAATTACTTGGAATTGGCGCAGAGAGAGCAACTGTGTCGCGGTATAGAATTACAGTAAGTGGGTTTTAATTGCCCAATTAAACTTAATCTCACTCATATAAGAGTTCCAACAACTGGCGGTAGTACAAGACAGTGGATAAACAAGCAGACATGAGTGGTTTAGTCTATGGGATCCTCCTGTGTTGGGCTGCACTATGCGGTAGGTTGATTGGAGACGGTATATATTGTAGTATTTTCAAAACACTTTGCTGTTGCTTGTTGTAAGTTGAACTTAGTGCATTTTAGAGATTATCCCGACAGTTCGTATAAGTGTTGATTCGAAATACTTCAATCAATGTTGAAACGCACGTATATGTTCGCTTTAACTATTTGGCTGTTTCTTTCGTTTATTTGTTAACTCCAATTTTAACCAAGATTTCCGGTACTTACTTACATTAAAACAATAATGTCATGTCACCAAACTTTAGTTCCAGTTAAGATTCCGAGTTTGAATTTGTCCCCAGCAACTTATGGGTCGTAAGGCTCGGTGACTGTTGATTCCGAGAGCTTCGTACATTGCTTATAATATCACCAGAGGATGATTATGTACAGGCCGCCGTCATATAGCTGGAATATTGATGGGCACGGCATTAAACAATAAACAAACCAAATTATATACCGGTAAGCACTTTCGGCTAAACATCCACACATGCTCTTGGGCAATGTTTGCATCACATGAGCTAATAGTAACGTGCATGAATTTAAAACGTCAACCAGCAATGCATTTTAAAATAATTGCATAAACACGGACTGATGAATACGAATACCTCCTATTACGAGTGAGTGGGTGAGTGAGTATGGTTTTACGTCGCTTTTAGCAATATACCAACAATATCACGACAGGGGACACCCTGAATGGGCTTCACACATTATACCCAAGTAGGGAATCGAACACGGGCATTCGGCGTGACGAGCCGTCGCTTTATCCACTAGGCTACCCCAAGGCACCACAGTAATAATAATAATAATAATAATAATAATAATAATCACCTCCTTTCCATGGATGACCTTGAACTTATTGCCAATAGAGGATCTACACTCAAAAAACAGATTCTGCTTGTCGAGTTCTTTTCTAATGATATCGGCATGTCCTTTGGACTCGACAAATGCAACATTCTTCATTTGAAACATGGCAAGGTAGAAGAGGGAGGATCAGTCAGTTTACTTGGAGGAGGAGTTATTGACCATCTTGTGGAAGATCAGGCCTATACGTACTTAGGGATGCAGATTAGGGACAAACTCCAGAATGCCCATATCAAGGGCAAACTTCGGGCAGAATACAAATGTAGACTAAAGAAAATCTGGAGTTCAGAGCTGAACGCTCGCAATATAGTCAAAGCCACAAATACTTATGCTGTGCCCGTCCTTTCGTATTCTTTTGGTGTTGTTGATTGGACGAAACAAGAAATTCAGGATATTGACACCCTCACACGAAGAATCATATCAGACAATAGATCCCACCACCCTCGCTCTTCCCTCAATTGCTTATATTTACCAATTATGATGGGAGGGCGTGGTTTGATTAACGTGGAGGCTCTTCATGATAGAATTGTTTTGTGCACTTTTGCCCACAATTATTTGTCTGATGATCCTCTTGTGAAGCATGGCATTCCACAGTTATCTAAAACGAGCCAAGGATGTGGGACACAACCTCAATGTCGGCGTTGTTTTGTTGATGGTTCTGTACTGCTGGACGGTACAGAAATGAGTGTCAATTAAGCGAAGTGCCATATCAAGTCGGCCCATACTCAGTTTTTAAAGGAGAGGCTATCTGAACGACCCCTGCATCGAGTTTATGTGCAGTTTATCAGCAATCCTGCAGAAAAGAGAAACAGAAGGCTTTCTGTTTGCTGCTCAGGACCAGTCACTTCCCACTCGAAACCGTCAATGTGTGATTTTGCGTCAAAATGTAAATATGAAATGTAGATTATGTAATGAATTTAATGAGACTGTCCAACACATTGTCATCGGATGCCCAGCTTTGGCACAAACACAGTATCTTAAACGACATGATGGTGTAGCTCGATCATTTTATTACCGTTTTCGCCATGCTTGTGGTTTTGACACAGAGGTCCACCCATGGTACGACCCGGAATATGTAGAGGGCGTCATGGAAAATGATAAATACAAACTTCTTTGGAATAGGCCCATTTACAGCCTCAGACGTATCCAGGCCAACAAACCTGATCTTGATCTTGATAACTCCAATGAAATAATTTATATCATTGAATTTACTGTCACCTTTGACACTAATGTGATTGACAAAATTGAGGAAGAACATGGCAAATATGCGGACCTCACTTTCGAAATGTCACGCTTGCATCCCAAGTACCAAGTTGTCCGACTCCCCATTGTTCTCGGTGCCTTAGGTTTGGTACCTCCCAATCTGTTGGGACTGACATTGGGAGAGTACCCGGTTTTGCTACCAGGAATACAGCCCTTCTGACAATCTGGGTAATGCAGAAGGCTGCAGTGTTGGGGAGTCTTCACATTCTCCGAAAAGTTCTGGGTGGGTTTGACCAGGCAGAGCTTCCTGGGAGAAGTCCCATTCGCTGTCTGGGCTGCGTGTAGAGGGGGAAAAGGCCCTGAGCTGATGATGAGCCAAACCAGCCTAACTGTGCCAGGATCACCCAAACCCTCTTTGCTGCATTTATTATTTTAATTTGTAAATAATAATTATGATAATGATGATGATAATAATAATCATCATCATCATCATCATCATCATCTCCATCATCATCATCATCATCATCATCATGATGTAAGTATCATCTACGTAGACTGTAAGTAAGTAAGTAGACTGTTGCACTTATACGCTTCCATACTATTTTCTCTTTATCCTCGTCAGTCAAATTATTCCGTTTTATAAGTGAAAATGAGCGGGTGCTTTTGCAATATTACAGCGGAGGACAATTGAGATGGGCTTCTCGATGGCACCAATGTACTGCACCGAGTCCATACCTTGAAAGGTTTGTCAGCTGAGACAGATGAATTCTTCTCACGGAACAAGTACATAGTTTTGGTGTGAGGTGAGGTGAGGTGAAATGGGGTTTAACGTCGCGTCCAAGATTATTGAACTTATATAGCGACGTTCATGCACGTGTGTGTGTGGTTGCTTGTACTAGTCCGGACTGATGCCGATTTATAGTGCTAGCTCACTGAGATACCATGCCGCAGTTTAACATGAATACCCCACTCAGACACAGTATACTGACTCCGAGCCGACCAGTCCTTGTTTTTGCCCCTTAATGCCGAGCGCCAGACAGGGTAACAACAAGTACCATCTGTTAACGTCTTTTGGTTATCGCGGCCGGGGATCGAACCCCGGACCTTCTGCTCTCCGGGCGGACGCTCTACCACTAGACCACGAAGGCGGACTAGTTTTGGTGTGGCATAATCATGATGAATGTATTACGTTTACACAGTATGGGATTGTATTATCATGAACGGATTACATAGATCTTCATGAAGTAATTATGCTATGACGGGGTAAGTGTGCCACCTAAGGCCAAGCCCTCCCCCGCATCCCCGCATCCCCTCATCTTTAATTAAGTAATTTAAAGGAATACAGGCAAACTTAGGTAAAGGTCAACGCCAGAGAATAACCGAATCTCCGAATTAAATCTTATTCTGAATATAACATCGTAACACACGTGATGCGCAGTAAACAAGCAATACCAAAACAAATATCACTGACGCTACGGCACTAACACACACACTTTGTGAACACAAAGACAGACACAGACATTGGCAACCAACACAAACAACACTAACACCACCATAACGAACAAACATACATTGACAACCACACAAACAACACTAACACCACCATAACTAACAAACATGCATTGACAACCACACAAACAACACTAACACCACCATAACTAACAAACATACAATGACAACCACACAAACAGCACTAAGACCACCATAACTAACAAACATACAATGACAACCACACAAACAGCACTAACACCACCATAACTAACAAACATACATTGACTTCCCACACAAACAACACTAACACCACCATAACTAACAAACATACAGTGAAAACCCACACAAACAACACTAACAGCACCATAACTAACAAACATACAATGACAACCACACAAACAGCACTAAGACAACCCTAACTAACACACATACAATGACAACCACACAAACAGCACTAACACCACCATAACTAACACACATACAATGACATCCACACAAACAGCACTAACACCACCATAACTAACAAACATACAATGACAACCACACAAACAGCACTAACACCACCATAACTAACAAACATACATTGACAACCACACAAACAACTCTTAAAGTACCATAACTAACAAACATACATTGACAACAACACAGAAACAACTCTTAAAGTACCATAACTAACAAACATACAATGACAACCACACAAACAGCACTAAGACCACCATAACTAACAAACATACATTGACTTCCCACACAAACAACACTAACACCACCATAACTAACAAACAAACATTGACAACCCACACAAACAACACTAACACCACCATAACTAACAAACATACATTGACTTCCCACACAAACAACACTAACAGCACCATAACTAACAAACATACAGTGAAAACCCACACAAACAACACTAACAGCACCATAACTAACAAACATACATTGACTTCCCACATAAACAACACTAACAACACCATAACTAACAAACATTCAGTGAAAACCCACACAAACAACAGTAACAGCACCATAACTAACAAACATACATTGACTTCCCACACAAACAGCACTAAGACAACCATAACTAACAAACATACTGTGAAAACCCACACAAACAACACTAACAGCACCATAACTAACAAACATACATTGACTTCCCACACAAACAACACTAACAGCACCATAACTAACAGACAGTGAAAACCCACACAAACAACACTAACAGCACCATAACTAACAAACATACATTGACTTCCCACACAAACAACACTAACACCACCATAACTAACAAACAGTGAAAACCCACACAAACAACACTAACAGCACCATAACTAACAAACATACATTGACTTCCCACACAAACAACACTAACACCACCATAACTAACAGACAGTGAAAACCCACACAAACAACACTAACAGTACCATAACTAACAAACATACATTGACAACCCACACAAACAACACTAACAGCACCATAACTAACAAACATACATTGACTTCCCACACAAACAACTCTTAAAGTACCATAACTAACAAACATACATTGACAACCCACACAAACAACACTAACACCACCATAACTAACAAACATACATTGACTTCCCACACAAACAACACTAACAGCACCATAACTAACAAACAGACATTGACAACCCCCACAAACAACACTAACACCACCATAACTAACAAACATACATTGACAACCCACACAAACAACACTAACACCACCATAACTAACATACATACATTGACTTCCCACACAAACAACACTAACAGCACCATAACTAACAAACATACATTGACAACCCACACAAACAACACTAACACCACCATAACTAACAAACATACATTGACTTCCCACACAAACAACACTAACACCACCATAACTAACAAACAGACATTGACAACCCACACAAACAACACTAACAGTACCATATCATGAAGGTAGTAAACTTCTAAGACCCGCACCATTTGGGCTTTTCCTCCCACATTAATCTGACACGTCGTGATATAACTGGAATACTAATAAACCCATCTCCCTGTTTTAGCCAGCAGCCCCTCCTCCCTGGTCAGGCGGCAGGTGTTTACCGGAACCTGTGATGAGCAGGGCATCAAGACGGCACAGGAAAGCTGCTTCGGGGCCTTGATGAGTATCAGTGGCATGCAGCCTGCGAGTGGAGTCAACGTGGATGCTGACATCAGGGAGTCATGCCGGTAACCTATACACAATATTGTCTGACCGGACAATAACGTTCTGTCCCACCCTCAAAAACCGTTAGATGTGATGAGGTGTTTGTGTGTGTGTGTGTGTGTGTGTGTGTGTGTGTGTGTGTGTGTGTGTGTGTGTGTGTGTGTGTGTGTGTGTGTGTGTGAGAGAGAGCTTTTGAGTGTGTGAGTGTGTGCGTGTATGTGTGTTTGAATGTGTGACTGTGTGTGTGTGACTGTATGTGTGTGTACATGTGTACATGTGTGTGTGTTAGAGTGTGTGTGAGAAAGCTTTTGAGTGTGTGCGTGTATATGTGTTTGAATGTGTGACTGTGTGTGTGACTGTATGTGTGTGAGTGTGTGTGAGTGTGAGTGTTTGAGTGTGTGTGAATATGGGCGTGTGTGAGAGTGTGTGTGCGTGCGCATGTGCGTGCGTGTGAGTATGTGTGTGTGAGTGCGTGTGTAAATGTGTGTTCATTTGAGTATGTGTGAGTGTGTGTGTATGTGCGTGCGTGCGTACGTATGTGTGCGTGCGTATGTGTGTGCGTTTGTGCGGGCTCTACTTCTTTTAGTTCCGGAGTTATGCTACTTTTATAGTGCTCGTCCGCTGAGTTACTCATCCGCAGTTTAACAACCCTACTCTCAGTTTACCGTCCCCCGAGCTGACCACTTCTTGTTTTATCCGCTTACTGCCGAGGGCTAGGCAGGGTAACAACAAGCGCTATTATTTAACATGTAGGCCCAGGCATCCACACTTGACGGTAGGTCGGGTGGTCAGGCCTGTGCACATCTACATCTTCGTTTTTCCAGTACCCTTAAAGCAGCAAACAGATGCTTTCAAGAGGAGATGAAGAAGTGTGGCGCAAGCGGAGAGATTTTGGCGACAATGTTGTCCAACGTTTTTGAATATGCGTGTGAAGAGGGGCTTGACAGTAAGTATTTTAAAAGTACATTATTTCCAAAGTATAACTATATACCTTGAAAAAGATTAAGCACTACCCCTTCTTTATTTTCATATATCGTACCTGTATCATTCTGAAATATCTATATATGACATTGGGACCTGTGTCTTCAGCAACTCATGCTTGCCGTAAAAGGTGACTATGCTTGTCGTAAGAAGCGACTAAAGGGATCGGGTGGTCAGGTTCGCTGACTTGGTTGATGCATGTCATCAATTGCGTAGATCGATGCTCATGATGTTAATCACTGGATTGTCTGGTCCAGACTCGATTATTCAAAGACCGCCGTCATTTAGCTGGGATATTGCTGAGTGCGGCGTTAAACAACAATCAACATCAACAACATATGTCATTTGGTCATGTCATATAATGCAAGTGAAAGAAGCAGGGGTGCATTGGGAAGTGTAGTCAAATAACTTTTGAGGTGGCGCACTCACGACATGTGTCATGAAATAATCTCACTCAACACTGTGTATATCCAGTAACGTGTCACTCACTCTGTCTAGTCATGTCTCACTCATCACTGTGTATATCCAGTAACTTGTCCCTCACTCTGTCTAGTCATGTCTCACTCATCACTGTGTATATCCAGTAACTTGTCCCTCACTCTGTCTAGTCATGTCTCACTCATCACTGTGTATATCCAGAAACGTGTCACTCACTCTGTCTAGTCATGTCTCACTCATCACTGTGTATATCCAGTAACGTGTCCCTCACTCTGTCTAGTCATGTCTCACTCATTACTGTGTATATCCAGTAACGTGTCACCCACTCTGTCTAGTCATGTCTCACTCATTACTGTGTATATCCATTAACTTGTCCCTCACTCTGTCTAGTCATGTCTCACTCATCACTGTGTATATCTAGTAACTTGTCCCTCACTCTGTCTAGTCATGTCACACTCATCACTGTGTATATCCAGTAACGTGTCACTCACTCACTCAAGTCATGTCTCACTCATCACTATGTATATCCAGTAACGTGTCACTCACTCTGTCTAGTCATGTCTCACTCATCACTGTGTATATCTAGTAACGTGTCCCTCACTCTGTCTAGTCATGTCACACTCATCACTGTGTATATCCAGTAACGTGTCACTCACTCACTCAAGTCATGTCTCACTCATTACTGTGCATATCCAGTAACGTGTCACTCACTCTGTCTAGTCATGTCTCACTCATCACTGTGTATATCCATTAACTTGTCACTCACTCTTTCTAGTCATGTCCCACTCATCACTGTGTATATCCAGTAACGTGTCACCCACTCTGTCTAGTCATGTCACACTCATCACTGTGTATATCCAGTAACGTGTCACTCACTCTGTCTAGTCATGTCACACTCATCACTGTGTATATCCAGTAACTTGTCACTCACTCTTTCTAGTCATGTCCCACTCATCACTGTGTATATCCAGTAACGTGTCACCCACTCTGTCTAGTCATGTCACACTCATCACTGTGTATATCCAGTAACGTGTCACCCACTCTGTCTAGTCATGTCACACTCATCACTGTGTATATCCAGTAACTTGTCACTCACTCTGTCTAGTCATGTCTCACTCATCACTGTGTATATCCAGTAACGTGTCACTCACTCTGTCTAGTCATGTCTCACTCATCACTGTGTATATCCAGTAACTTGTCACTCACTCTGTCTAGTCATGTCACACTCATCACTGTGTATATCCAGTAACGTGTCACTCACTCTGTCTAGTCATGTCTCACTCATCACTGTGTATATCCATTAACTTGTCCCTCACTCTGTCTAGTCATGTCTCACTCATCACTGTGTATATCCAGTAACTTGTCACTCACTCTGTCTAGTCATGTCACACTCATCACTGTGTATATCCAGTAACTTGTCACTCACTCTGTCTAGTCATGTCACACTCATCACTGTGTATATCCAGTAACTTGTCACTCACTCTGTCTAGTCATGCTGTCGGAGGGCGACTGCTGGGCCCACGAAAATTTCACCTCGGACATTATGGGGTGTTCGAAGACCATGGAACAAAGTTTTAACACAATGGGCTATAACGGCTTTTGTCGGTAAGTTTTTGTTTTGTCAGTTTTTGTTTATTGTTTAACGCGGCACTCACCAATATTTGGCGGCGGTCTGTAAACAATCGAATCTGACTAGACAATCATGTGACTGACATCCTGAACATCGATCAGGGCACTTGAGATACGATTTCATGTTTTGCAGATGAGTAACATGTCAGATACTATTTTTCCGCAGTATGTAAAGGAAGGTCAGTGAGTAGGGTAACACGACAAATGCATCTATTTACAGAGCCACCAACGAATTCATTCGGTGTGTGGGAGACAGAATAAACAGCAAAACTGTCTGCTCGGAGGATGCAGCCTGGTTCATGCAGGAGTTATTCAGGAGGAGCATCAAGCCTGCAGCTGACATGATGAAATGTTTTCTTAACACCAGAGCTATACGTAAGTCGTGACGTCATGTACGTCGTTAACTTCACATACGTCATCAACCTCACATACGTCATTAACTTCATATACGTCATCAACTTCACATACGTCATTAACTTCACATACGCCATTAACATCACATACGTCATTAACTTCACGTACGTCATCAACTTCACGTACGTCATCAACTTTCCATACGTCATCAACTTCACGTACGTCATTAACTTCACGCACGTCATCAACTTCACATACGTCAGTAACTTCCCATACGTCATTAACTTCACATTCGTCTTGAACTTCACATACACCATCAATTTCACATACATCATTAACTTCACATACACCATTAACTTCACATACGTCATTAACTTCACATACACCATTAGCTTCACGTACGTCATTAACTTCACGTACGCCATTAACTTCACATACGTCACTAACTTCACATACACCATTAACTTCACATACGTCATTAACTTCACGTCAGTATTAACTTCACATACACCATTAACTTGACTTACGTCATTAACTTCACGTACGTAATTAACTTCACATACGTCATTATCTTCACGTATGTAATTAACTTTACATACGTCATTAACTTCCCATACACCCTTAACTTCACATACGTCATTAAGTTCACGTACGTCATTATCTTAACGTGCCTTATTATCTTCACGTACGTAATTAACTTCACATACGTCATTTCATTCACATACGTCATTAACTTCACATACGTCATTAACTTCACGTACGTAATTAACTTCACATACGTCATTATCTTCACGTACTTAATTAACTTCACATACACAATTAACTTCACGTACACCATTAACTTCACATACGTCATTAACTTCACATACACCATTAGCTTCACGTACGTCATTAACTTCACGTACGTCATTTACTTCACATACGTCATTAACTTCACGTACGTTATTAACTTCACATACACCATTAACTTCACATACGTCATTAACTTCACGTATGTAATTAACTTCACATACGTCATTATCTTCACATACGTAATTAACTTCACATACGTCATTAACTTCACATACACCACTAGCTTCACGTACGTCATTAACTTCACGTACGTCATTAACTTCACATACATCATCAACTTCACGTACGTCATCAACTTCAAGTACGTCAGTAACTTCACGTACGTTATTAACTTCACATACACCATTAACTTCACATACGTCATTAACTTCACGTACGTAATTAACTTCACATACGTCATTATCTTCACGTACGTAATTAACTTCACATACGTCATTAACTTCACATACGTCATTAAATTCACGTACGTCATTAACTTCACGGACGTCAGTAACTTCACATACGTAATTAACTTCACGTATGTCAGGAACTTCACATACGTCAGTAACTTCACATAAACCAGTAACTTCACATACGTCAGTAACTTCACATACACCAGTAACTTCACATACGTCAGTAACTTCACATACGTCAGTAACTTCACATACGTCATTAACTTCACATACACCATTAACTTCACATACGTCATTAGCTTCACATACGTCAGTAACTTCACATACACCATTAACTTCACATACGTCAGTAACTTCACATACGTCATTAACTTCACATACGTCATTAACTTCACATACTCCATTAACTTCACATACGTCATTAGCTTCACATACGTCAGTAACTTCACATACACCATTAACTTCACATAGGTCATGATTTCACATTATTTGTTTCGAGGATCTCATCCAGTCTCACTGACAAGCGGTCCAGCCACATTAGCAAACAAATCACAACTAATTGAATTATTCATACGAATATAAGATACTTATATTGATGAATCAAATGAATGTTGTTTGTATTCCAGGAAGTATTGTTGACATGCTACGAAGAAAGTAACTGCTGGTGTGGGGTCTACATCAACACGAGTTGAGAATCACTGTAATATTGTATTCACTGTTCAGAATTAAACCTACATTTCTTATTTTAATGTCTTTTGTCAATTTACATCACAGTAATCTTTTTTGGGGGGTGGGGGGTGGGGGGTGGGGGGTGGGGGTTGTTTGTTTCTTTCTTCTTTTGCGTTGTAGTCAGCAATGTTTCAGCTTTATCACGACGGATTGTAAATAGTGACCAGGCAAGCCTGTGAATAAAAGGTGATTGGCTTCCTTCTGATTGGCTAATATCGATTTCTTGTCAGTCATTTCATTGGTCGGTCAAACTTCGCGAAAGGTCGTTCTGACGTGACCCGTAATGGGATGTCCTCAGATCTTTGTTTAGCAGTAGCGAAAACTAAGATCTAAATTTAATGAGATTGATGTTCATAAGAAATCTCTGCCAAATACATAGTCGATTGTACGATTCTGACTATATAATGAGCATGTGTTTATGAATCACTATCAAATACACACTACCAAAGTCACAGGTCCTGCTCATGGGTATTGGTGATAGCAGAGTAAAGTGAAGAATGGAGCATTTCCAGGCGCTTAAAGATGACGTGACGGACTGCAACTAAAGCAGCATTCATGACTCGCTTGTTTGTTTGTTGTTCAATGCTATATAACGGCGGTCTGTTTCTAACCGAGTCTTGATCAGACAATCCAGTCATTGATATTGTGCGAGACGATCCACGCCATCAACCAAGTCACCTAGCCTGCCCATCCGACCTATTTAGTCACCTCTTTAAAACCAGGACAGGTCGCCAGGGACGTATCCTAACCCGGAATACAATGGGTTATGTTGTATTTGTAGGGTGTGGATCGAGGTATATATTAATTTCCTGTCGTATTTGCAGTGAGCACTGAACGATTGTGTCTTGCTTGACTTTATTGTCAGCTTGACATTGTTGTCTTGCTTGACATTATTGCCTTGCTGGGGACCAATTCCCACTCGGGATCCCAATAGGGGTTCTTACCTGTATATCAGGGCATGGCGATCTCAGTCGCCAATAGGTAACACATCGACAAGCATCACATTTTGTGAGTAAACGAAATATATTCTTTGTTTTTAACCCGTAAAGGGGATTATGAAGCTTATAATATATATGGCATCTATCAAACGTATAACAGACCCGTGAAGATCCGGGGTAGAATAGGTCTTCAGCAACCCATGCTTGCCGTAAAAGGCGACTATGCTTGTCGTAAGAGGCGACTGACGAGATCGGGTTGTCAGGCTCGCTGACTTGGTTAATGCATGTCATCGATCCTATTGTGTGGATCAATGCTCATGATGGCATTCCCTGGATTATCTTATCCAAACTCGATTATTAACAGGCCGCCGTAATAGAGCTGAAATATTGTTGAGTGCGGCGTTAAACAACAGACAGACAAAAGTATAAAACTCGGTTTGTGTTCATGCAAGACAACATTATGTACGAATGTCAAAAGTAGGATGCTGATACGGTTTAAAGATCAGCGATCATCACCTTCACTTCACATGCCTAAATTAGTCATTCTCTGGACAACGGAGCTTCTCTGTAAGCCAAACTGAAAAGGAAACCCTGGAAGACTCAACCAACAAAGTACGAGAAATTGTACTTCACTAAGAAAGTGTTATCCCAAATATAACATTTGTAACATTTGACCACTTTCTAAAATGCATTGCGTATACATAGCTTTCGGTCAAAGGGGTACACAAAATAAGTGATCTAGACTACCAGATGTCGGACTTTCCTGTTTGTGGAAGGCTCGGAGGCTGAGTGGGTTAGATCGTTCACTTTCTGTGCCGGAGTTTAGGTGCCTCACTCTGAGAGTGTGGTTTGGACTCACGGGTGGGAATCAGTGCCTGAAAAGTACTTCACTAAGAAAGTGTTATTTTAAATATAACATTGTTATACAATGTTTAGTTATGAGGCTCCACAGACATGGTGCAAATTATACTTGGGAAACTTTGCCAATATTAGACTTTAAGTTACGTTAATGTGTGAACTGAATGACAACGTACTTCAAAATTAATTAAATTCATGCATGTTAATATGATATTTCCATCAAAGACATGTCTAAACGTGGTAACATCTCAACCTTCAAAGGTTCAGGGCATTTTGCTACAAAGGAAGGTGAGGTGAAATTGGGTTTAACGTCGCGTCCAAGATTATTGCACTTATATAGCGACGTGCATGCACGTGTGTGTGTGTGTGTGGCTGCTTGTACTAGTCCGGACTGATGCCGATTTATAGTGCTAGCTCACTGAGATACCATGCCGCAGTTTAACATGAATACCCCACTCAAACACTGTTTACTGACTCCGAGCCGACCAGTCCTTGTTTTAGCCCCTTAATGCCGAGCGCCAGACAGGGTAACAACAAGTACCATCTTTTAACGTCTTTTCGTATGATGCGGCCGGGGACGCTACAAATGAAAGTTCACTGAGAAAATAAAATGTAAAATGCTGAACTTCCTCATTGACAGTTCTATGTGGAATTTGGGGGTATAACATTCAAGCAAGAAGGCATCCCCATGGGCAGCAACTGCGCTCCTTGCTTGGTCGGTTTCTGTATGCATATGAATCGGGAATTTCTGCACGGACTGGCAACATCTTGGGAAGCTGGCCAAGAGGTTGAACTCCAGCTTCAGCTATATCGATGATCTGATACCGTTCAATAACGTTCAAGTAGCCAAGGTGAGGTCAAATTGGCTTTAACGTCGCGTCCAAGATTATTGCACTTTTACAGCGACGTGCGTGTACGTGTATGTGTTTGTGAGGCTGCTTGTACCAGGCCGATTTATAGTGCTAGCTCACTGAGATACCATGCCCCAGTTTAACATGAATACCCCACTCAGACACAGTATACTAACTCCGAGCCGACCAGTCCTTGTTTTAGCCCCTTAATGCCGGGTGCCAGACAGGGTAAAAACAAGTTTCATCTTTTAACGTATTTTGGTATGACGCGGCCGGGGATCGAATCCCGAACCTTCCGCTCTCCAGGCGGACGCTCTACCACTAGACCACGGAGGCGGTCGCAAGAAGCCAAGCTACTTCCACTTATTTACCTACCGGAACAAGGAACAAAAGAGACCAGTCAAACAGGGTCATCTGTTTCCTATTGAGGTATCTACACAAAGATTCTGAGATACAGAAGTGAGTGAGTGAGTTGGGTTTAACTCCGCTTTTAACAGTACTCCAGTTATATCACAGCGTGTCAGCTTAATGACTGGGCCACCTGTGCCCCCAACTCTACAGTAGAATGTATGACAAGTGCGATGGCTTCCACTTAACAATACACGTATCTGTAACATATCAGTACATACTGGGGCAAGGATGAAATACTCCACTCCACAAAATGCTGTTCTCCTGACCCCATGGAGCTGATGATTATAGGGTTTGTTTACATATGACGTTTTCAAAGCACCGAGATCCCGTATCGACTGTTTTTTCTATGTCCGCAGGATGCATTGATTGATATGATTATGTGAATATAGCCAATTATTTCTTGGATATTCAATGAATGTCGCGTAATGCTTAGGGCAACTGACCGTGAGACCCAGTATGTTAACATTTGATGGCTGTTTATTTTTTTTGTCAGGAATATATCCTTATCATCGCTATTACGCAAACAAATGTCAGAACGTAGGATTTGTGTACATAGACTTGGTTGACGCAGCGCTAAATGCACGTCACGAAAACAACACTATAAATCGGCAAAAAAAACTACGGCCCAGAACATAAAACACTCGTCACCAACTACACAGCGTCAATAAAGAACTGTCACACCCTCTGGATCTAACCTTACTAGCATCAACCGTATCAAACATCACCAACAACTGGATCAAACATCAACAGTAACATCTACTGGGCCAACATCAACAGTAACATCTACTGGATCAAACATCAACAGCAACAACTACTGGATCAACACCAACAGTAAAATCTACTGGATCAAACATTAACAGTAACATATATTGGTTCAAACATCAACAGTAACATCTACTGGATCAAACATTAACAGTAACATCTACTCGATCAAATATCAACAGTAACATCTACTGGATCAAACATCAACAGTAACATCTACTGGATCAAACATCAACAGTAACCTCTACTGGATCAAACATCAACAGCAACAACTACTGAATCAACACCAACAGTAACATCTACTGGATCAAACATTAACAGTAACATATATTGGATCAAACATCAACAGTAACATCTACTGGATCAAACATTAACAGTAACATCTACTCGATCAAATATCAACAGTAACATCTACTCGATCAAACATCAACAGTAAAATCTACTGGATCAAACATCAACCGTAACATCTACTCGATCAAATATCAACAGTAACATCTACTGGATCAAACATTAACAGTAACATCTACTGGATCAAACATCAACAGTAACATCTACTCGATCAAATATCAACAGTAACATCTACTGGATCAAACATCAACCGTAACCTCTACTCGATCAAATATCAACAGTAACATCTACTGGATCAAACATTAACAGTAACATCTACTGGATAAAAAACATCAACCGTAACATCTACTCGATCAAATATCAACAGTAACATCTACTGGATCAAACATCAACCGTAACATCTACTCGATCACAATAACAGTAACATCTACTGGATCAAACATCAACCGTAACATCTACTGGATCAAACATCAACCGTAACCTCTACTGGATCAAACATCAACAGCAACAACTACTGGATCAACACCAACAGTAACATCTACTGGATCAAACATTAACAGTAACATATATTGGATCAAACATCAACAGTAACATCTACTGGATCAAACATTAACAGTAACATCTACTCGATCAAATATCAACAGTAACATCTACTGGATCAAACATCAACAGTAAAATCTACTGGATCAAACATTAACATTAACATCTACTCGATCAAATATCAACAGTAACATCTACTAGATCAAACATCAACCGTAACATCTACTCGATCAAATATGAACAGTAACATCTACTGGATCAAACATCAACCGTAACATCTACTCGATCAAATATCAACAGTAACATCCACTGGATCAAACATTAACAGTAACATCTACTGGATCAAACATCAACCGTAACATCTACTCGATCAAATATCAACAGTAACATCTACTGGATCAAACATCAACCGTAACCTCTACTCGATCAAATATCAACAGTAACATCTACTGGATCAAACATTATCAGTAACATCTACTGGATCAAACATCAACCGTAACATCTACTCGATCAAATATCAACAGTAACATCTACTGGATCAAACATCAACCGTAACATCTACTCGATCAAATATCAACAGTAACATCTACTGGATCAAACATTAACAGTAACATCTACTGGATCAAACATCAACCGTAACATCTACGCGGTCAAATATCAACAGTTGCATCTACTGGATCAAACATTAACAGTAACATCTACTGGATCAAACATCAACAGTAACATCTACTCGATCACAATAACAGTAACATCTACTCGATCAAACATCAACCGTAACATCTACTCGATCAAATATCAACAGTAACATCTACCTGATCAAACATTAACAGTAACATCTCCTGGATCAAACATCAACCGTAACATCTACTCGATCAAATATCAACAGTAACATCTACTGGATCAAACATCAACCGTAACATCTACTCGATCAAATATTAACAGTAACATCTACTCGATCAAACATTAACAGTAACATCTCCTGGATCAAACATCAACCGTAACATCTACTCGATCAAATATTAACAGTAACATCTACTCGATCAAACATCAACAGTAACATCTACTCGATCAAATATCAACAGTAACATCTACTCGATCAAACATCAACAGTAACATTACTGGATCAAGACCAACAGTAAAATCTACTGGATCAAACATCACCTCATAGCACCTCACTAGGGAGTGGAGAAAGAAATTCGAGAGAGGAACCATCGACATGGGTAACAATCGTGTTAGCGCTCTGAACATGCGTCAATATAGCGCATCATCAATGCCAATTTATTAGTATTATATTATTATATCCTATAAGTAGCAGAGAAAGGAACTGAAAGGACAGAACAATAACTATTACCATGAAACATCTACAAAACGTGGCTTTTGATAATGTTTTTTTTGCAACGGCGTTTCGCGACGGGTATGTCCCTTTGCAAGCATAAACAAGAATATTGTTAGAACATTAATACAGTACATGATTTAGAAAATCGACTACTTCCTATCTAGTAAACAGTAATTATTTTTCAAGGGTGTATAAGAATGCGTAGATAGTATGTATTATAGTAAAAATGTTAAGGATCCTAAAAGTTTTTAAGGATATTCTTATGAAATTGTGTGTTCAGTGTTCACTACAAAAAATGCTCCAAAATATTGATGATCCTAAACTTGTTTTGTTCAGTATATATTGAGACGATATCGAGATAACCGAAATCGGAAACAAACACATAAACCCAGCAGTAGTTTTATGTATTTATTTATTAATTTATTACTCGACTATTTACACGGAAACAAATCAGCTATTGTTACTTTTGTCAGACGAAACATTCGGGAATAAAATATTGTCAACAGGCGCATCTTTTGGGATCGTAGCCAAGAACACGTGTTCATCAAGCAATGCTGTCATGTTGAGCAGTGTTTCTAGTGTTGTTTTTTACACACACACACACACACACACACACACACACACACACACACACACACACACACACACACACACACACACACACACACACACACACACACACACACACTAACACACACACACACTAACACACACACACTAACACACACACACACTAACAAACACACACACTAACAAACACGCACGCACGCGCACACACACACACACACACACACACACACACGCACGCACGCACGCACGCACTAAAGTTCTGCAGTAGCAATGACCAAATGCGAGTGGAATAACTAGGTTATGACAGTAGAGTTTTTAAAAACGGGAACCCGGGTCACATTTCACAGAGCGATCTTATCACTACGACTATCGTAAGCCTGTTAAAGTGTGGGAGTATTGTCGTAGAGATAAGGTCGCGTTATGACATGGCTCTGACCCTATGCTTCTGTCATCACAACTGTTCCCTACTGACAGTGGCCAGGGCACCACGTCATCAAACAAGTGACGTCACAGATACTGTGACATGAATCAACTGTGGATGTAGCAATACTACAGCCACCTACAGCTCCCGATCAGTCACAGACAACGGTCAACACTTCAGCTGGGCGGAGAGTCTCTCAGGGTTAAGTGCCCGGATGATGAAGGCGGCCAGGTTGTAAGGGCATCTCTTAATGGTCCAGTCTCCCATGCATGCCCACACGAAGCTGTCGAGGGAGCTGCAACATGGACGACATCATTCACTACGACAGTCTAACGACAATCATTGGTATTATATTACCTAACGACAATCACTCTGCTAATATTTACTTAACGACAATCACTATGCCAATATTAACTTTACGACAATCACGACAATTCCATGTATTGGCCAACGACAATCACGACAATTTTATACATTAATAAACGACAATCACGACTATTCCATGAATTAACAAACGACAATCACGACTATTTCATACATTAACAAACGACAATCACGATATTATGGAATACTGTAATGGCCAAAATCTCACGTTCTCGCGATCTCGCATTCTCATGACATTTTGTCAAAAGTCGACAACGCGAGAATACGACATATGGACATGATGTAAAATCTCGCAATCACGACGACATCGAGATTGTAATGACCCTTGCAGTATTCCATACGATATAGACATATATTGTACTTAAACGAACTTTTCAGCAGGAATCGGTGATATCTAAGAGATAATGAAAATGAGATGTAATTTCCAAAGATATTTTTTCAAATTATAAAGGCGTTTGACTTTTTTTGCTCATGCGAACCAATTCTTATCCAAGAGCTATGTGTGTATGTGGCACACCGTCCCAACTACGAATATGTGTCCCTGGAACCTGAATCTATCGCCCATAAAAAGCGCTAACAAGGACCTAGTGTGTTGCTGTATCACCAAGTTGTTTTCAAATACATGTGAGCAATAGATATTAAAGAGAATAGAGCGCACAACCCTCGACAACGCATATACCTTTATCCCTCAATAGACGACCTGGCATCGGTTAATTTCCTAGACGTCTTCCGCCCGGCGTCTATTCAAGGCAGGCATCTCTCTTTTAATTTCTGTGATCATTTTTAATTGCCTTGAAGATGGGATGTGTAATTTATATAAAACGTGTGTGGTGTGCATTTTGTGTGAAAACTGCTTTCGTTTTCCTATGGGAAAAGCTATGTTTTGTTGCTCCGGCCTGTATTGGAGGCAGGCATCTATTGGTTGGTTGGTTTGTTGTTTAACGCCGCACTCAGCAATATTCCAGCTATAAATAAACGAGTCTGGACCAGACAATCCAGTGATTAATATCACGAGCATCAATCCACGCACTTAGGATCGATGACATGCATCAATCAAGTCAGCGATCTTGACCACCCGATCCCGTAAGTCGCCTCTTACGACAAGCATAGTCACCTTTTAAGGCAAGTATGGGTTCCTGAAGACCTATTCTACCCCGGATCTTCACGGGTCGGCAGGCATCTATTGAAAGATATACGGTAGCCGAGAGTATGGGGCGTAATATCGGGGTTCGATTTCTATACGGTAGACGTTTCTATATGAGATGAATATAAAGTCTGAACATTAAGTGACATCTCCTCACCCGCAGTACGCATACGTGTCGGTGATGTTGCCATCATGCACTCTGGTGGCGATGTTGTCGACGTCGTGTTTGGCCTTGCAGTGGCGTATCCGGGAGGCAACGTTGTTGTTAAGCCAGCAGGACGACCCCGCAATTAAATCTAGAAGAAATATTACAGAAGAAGCTTACTTATATTTGCATCATTTAACGGAACACAGATTTATTTAAGTTATAATGTCGACGGTCTATAAATCAACTGACTAAGTCAAAGAATGCGTTTTCCAAATACCCAGAAAAACCTCTACAAAAATAATCTACATGTGTTAAGTCAGATTTAGAAATATTGGATCTTCTAAGCGTCATTTCTCATGAATTGGTGTTATTTTTTTAAAAAAAACGTTCCCACATAAGCTGGAGACAAGGTTTATAAACAGGGCGAATATGGGATTCGAACCCGCAATCACTGGATTATGGAATCTCTAAGTGACCCAACTCTGCAGGGCCAATTGCAACGCCCAATATCACTAGGCCACCCGCGGACGCCTGCACTAGTCCGGACCGATGCCGATTTAAAGTGTTAGCCCACTGAGATACCATGTCGCACCTTGACATGAATACCCCACTCAGACACAGTATACTGACTCAAAGCCAGTCCTTGTTTAAGCCCCTTAATGCCGGGTGCCAGACAGGGTGACAACAAGTACCATCTTTAAACGTCTTTTTGTATGACGCGGCCGGGGATCGAACCCCGGACCTTCCGCTCTCCGGGCGGACGCTCTACCACTGGACCACGGAGACGGTCCAGGTCACAATTCCATTCTGTTGCTTCAGTGGTCATTGATGTAAAGTGACAGAGTGGTTGATTGAGGCTTGGATGATATCGACAGCTGCTTTTGGCAGGGTAATTTCTTGTTAATCATTGCAGATGTTGTTAATTAGTGATATTAGTCACATTATCTCAAGAATGTTAATTGCGAACTAGGTCATGATAGGTCTCTGCACTACAGAGATAACCAGTGATGTTCCTTATCGGTTTTAAAGTCATAGCAATGTTAAGTCTTCGAAAGGCATTTAGAAGTGATGCACATAAGGAAGAGAAGTTATGGATGTCAACTTCTTTTTTATGAGGACATGACCCTGGTTTCCCGTTTGCACATTGTCCATTGTCAATTACCAGTCAGTGCTAATTCAAGTCCTGGCTTCCAGTTGCCCGTAACTATCAACGCTAATTACTGTGAAATGTTGGCTTCCATTGACTTTGGCTAATCATCTATCAGCGCCAATTTTCTGTTGGCTTCACTTGTTAAGTTTCCACCTTTTGTTCTCTTATTACTTCTTTATGTTCCTACATGTACATATATTGTTCTCTGCCTCGTAGCAACCATTCACATGATGAAGGAGTAAGCATATACTCCGAAACGTTGTGTTCCTCATAATAAAGAAGTAGACATCCATAAATTATCTTCCCCATAGTTTGTCAATTTCATAATTATAATAATTATCTGGTACATGGCCGTGTGTCAGTTCGACGCATGTTTCGGAATTGGCACAAGTCGAAGTGTTACAATAAGCGTTGAAAACACACAACAGTCTGCAGTGGCCTTGGGTCGTGGGTGTCAGTTGACTTAGGTGACTACAGGGGCATGGCTCAATTGTTGACACACGTTGTGTGCCAAGTTGACACACATATGCTCACACACACACACACACACACACACACACACACACACACACACACACACACACACACACACACACACACACACACACACACACACACACGGAACACACAACGCGCACACAACGCGCACACAACTCACACACCACATACACACAGTACACTTACAACACACACAACGTAAACACAACACACAAACACACGAATAAAACATAACAAACAGCACACAGTGCATAAATACACAGACACCTACACAACACAACGTACACACACAAACACACTGAACACACAGAATACTCGCGACACACATACACACACGCATACGCACAAAACACACACGCACGCACGCACGCACATACACATTTACAACACAATATACACAGCACACACACACAAACACACGCACAACACAAAACGCACACATAAAATACAAAGTACATAAAAACACAACCAACACACAAACACACACACACCTCTTCTCCATACACACATCTCTTCACACATCGCACCTTTCCTTCCTTCTCCACACACATAGGACAGCATCCCGGCTCTGTCCTCTACCCCGTCAGTCTTCACGTGACCCTCACAGTCCGGTAGTTGGTTGTACACACAGCTCAGGCTTCTGTGGGCCTTCCTGTTAAATACAGACAGCACACACGTAAATCAGTCGATGACTGTTTTTTATCGACCCTAAAAAAGACACCAAAAAGTGAAAACAGGTACTTATGTCCTCATCATACACCATACCTGCAGAATTTCTTCACAACAGACTGAGGGTCACTGAAGTCTTCAGGGCTCTTGGATTCGATCATGGGAACCTGCAGGTGAGATATGGCTGTAGCGCACCTGAGGAATCTCTTGTGGTGACAGCGGTTGTCATGGGAAGCCAATACTTGACCTGTTAGAATATATGGGCATGTCATCCGTGTATGGATTCAAGCAATAGGTTTAATATTATGATGACTTTTCTTGACCGACCTTTGGGTATTCTAGGGGCAGGAGATATTTTGGAAAAGATATGTTCTTGAAGAAAAAATGGCAAAAAAATTTGTTCTCCGGTTTTACTAAAAGACTAATACACATTATTTGCAGGATATGCTAGATGTTTTGTAAGATGTTGTGAAATAATTGAGCATCGTGACGACTTTTGGACCGACCATTGGATATTCCTGGGGCCTGGGGACAATTTGTTAACAAAAAAACTGGTAAAAAATCATTTGTAGTAGAAAGTCATCCTTTTACATTTGTGTGCCCCTCCTTTCACAGAACATATATTTGTGTTTTGAAGCAGTGAAAGAATTCCTGGCTCTAAACAAAAGCTCGCGCACCCCTTGTAGGGCACCAAGACCATGTCGGTTCTTCATTTTCCAGTGATTGGCTGAATGGGTCACGTGTCAGTTGTTAGGGAAGTCGTACTTGGGGGGTCAGTCCTTGTAGATCACTTGGGGGAACAGGTTTCCTGGGGCAGCACTGCCAAGCAGCATGGTGATTTCACGTTTGTCCTCAACACCTGTTACGTTTTACTTCGCGCCTTTACTCGCTCGTGTCCAATTGGTAACGGGAACGATTTTAACATCAGTTTGGTCAAAGTTGACCAAGTCAGATGGGATCGAATTCGACGCAACTGTCTCCCCCACACTTTTCAAAGTCAGCTGGTATTTGCCTAGCAGCTTTTTTAGCTTTCCTTTCAACAAATCGGTACCTGACGAGGAAGGAATATGATCACGTCTTATTAAGTAGGATTGGGCCACCATTTTCAGCAAGAAGGAATCTGTTTTCGTGCAACACAATGTCACGTGCAGTAGCGATTACAGTATGCCAGTTTATAATTCCACCAGCTGCACTGATTTCAGCCAAATGTTCGCACTCAAGTTTGTCCAACTCTCCCAACAACAATGGTCGACCATTATGAGTCACTTCGGTCACCTCAGCTAGTGTGTCTGCAGATGTACATTAGCATAAGCCTTCTTCATTACACAGACACCACTTTCACCCAGACCAACATCTAAACGTTTACTGAAATGTTTTGCAGCTCGAGTGTTACAATGTTCAGTGGCATACTTGAGTTTGAAACGAGCAGTTGTTGTTGGTCCTTTTCCCTTGACACCACGTCGACTTATCGTAAAATCATCTGAACGTGATGCATCTATCCTGACGGCCTTCTCAGGGGTCGATGCCTTGGCGGGACCAGACCAGAGCAGACCAGATCAGACCAGATCAGACCAGACAGAACAGGGAGCCTCTTGGTGGCCGTGACGTACTTTAAAAGGATTGTGAATACCAGTACTATTTAGTCATGTTATTTATATTCCAACACTGGTGACGAAACATTTAACTTGAGTTGGTTCGATTATTTATTTCCTTTGAACTTCCTCAGTGCCAGTCGACAGTGCGGGGAGTCCCATTCATACTGAGTCGCATATTTTGGCTAGGGGACAGCAGTCGCATTCATTTGGATTGGAGACTCATTCATTTCACGATTTACAGTAGTTGTTTGGAGAATGAAAGGACTGTTCCTCTATTCCTTATGTCGTTTAGTGCACACAGTCAACAAAGTGATGGTGATGCGGTGCATAGTGTTAGGTCCCTTGAGTGTAGTTGTGTGACGGCTTTGATCCTGTTATATGAGACTAATTATTCATTAGCATGTAATCATACCTTTATTAACTATTACGTTACATCATTACATCCAATTGTACTAACGTTACCGTCCGTCTGTCGATAGTTCGACACCACCCAGTGAATGATCGGGCTATCATTGGCAGGTCATTAAGGACAAACATGGGTACAAACACAATACTGGAACGCTTTAGAACGGTAGGGTTTTCAGACAGGATCACGGACAACTGGTCAGGGTCCTGTTCGGCTGACGATGTCGTCATGGTTCTGCAGTGTTACCTTACGGGTCTTCTCTATACATCGCCAGTAGGATGTCTCGTTCATGTCTCCGTTTATTTCAGAACGTGTATCCTCTATAAGTTTCGATGTCCATACGACTTATACGTGAAGCTTGTCTGAAGTCGCGTATTCACCATAATGACATGTTCTCATGTTCTATGGCTTTAATGGCTTCACTTACAATAAGCTAGTAACAACATTTACTTAGATTGCCATTTGCTTTAGAGCCATTTGCTGTAGTTTGGTCCTCATATATAAATTATTTCCGACACTTCGGCCATGAACCGTTTGATGTTTGCTAAAGGTGAATGAAACAAGAAATAGTTATTCGATGACGAATGATACAGGTATTATAGTTGTGTTTCGGGCCTCATGTCTGCAGTGTTTCGGCTGTAACGTAACGTTTGGATAAAGTTTGCGGTCAAATCCAATCTTTAAGTGCCTACGTACTATTGCCAGGCAGTTTAGCCAATAGCAGTTTAGCTGAATTTGATTCAGTTCTGAAAAGGCATTGATTAGATTTATCTTTGAACAGTTGACGTTTATTCACCCAAACCAAACCACTTAATTTCATTGGAATAAGGAAAAACGACATAATCGATGTCCATTAGAATTATACGTGAAGCTTATCCGAAGTTGCGTATTCACCATAATGACATGTTCTCATGTTCTATAGCTTTAATGGCTTCACTTACAATAAGCTAGTAACATTTACTTAGATTGTAATCTTATTTCCGCTCTAACTTCATCTCACTTTGATCTTATATCAGAACTCTGTTTAAATTTACTTATGATCATTATAATTGAGAAGAGAAATGCCGACGAAGTCATAAATTCGTTGGGTACCGCCAACCGATTTTTTAATCTCTTCTAATCCCTTCACATTTGCGACAGGTATGCTCGACATATACTTGGCTTTTCGACAGTTCGGTATGAAACATAGCAACATTGCAATTTAGCCATTTGCTGTAGTTTGGTCCTCATATATAAATTATTTCCGACACTTCGGCCATGAACCGTTTGATGGTTGCTAAACGTGAATGAAACACGAAATAGTTATTCGATGACGAATGATACAGGTATTATAGTTGTGTTTCGGGCCTCATGTTTGCAGTGTTTCGGCTGTAACGTAACGTTTGGATAAAGTTTGGGGTCAAATCCAATCTTTAAGTGCCTACTTTCTATTGCCAGGCAGTTTAGCCAAAAGCAGTTTAGCTGAATTTGATTCAGTTCTGAAAAGGCATTGATTAGATTTATCTTTTAACAGTTGACCTTTATTCACCCAAGCAGAACCACTTAATTTCATTGGAATGAGAAAGATCGACATAATAACAGTGTTTTGAGTAGGCGCCGTTGGTTTAAATATAATTTATCGAAATTGAAATATCACACAGTTGCTTATTGGAAGTATATATAATAACACACATAATTGTGCAATAACTCATCACGATATTAACGCTCCCATGTACTTCTACACAATTAGCACACGAAGTAAACATTAAAGTTTGATATACGCGACTTACCCAAACAAGTGAACCACGCAACGAACAGAATGATGCACGGCTTCATAATGGCGACCATGAAAGAACAGTAGGCCGTCTGCAAATCAGGGCAGGAATGTAGACATTGCCGTGGCTGTTGAATGCTAATGGTAGTCAGGCCTACTTGATGCAAATGTCAGTCAAGTCATTACTCAGCAAATGAATCGCTTCCGTTGAGTCAATAGCTAGTTGTAGTTGATGGTGGATGTTGACAAGCATTTGGCTGTTTCAAAATGTTAAAGTTATCCTTCTGGGAATTAACCGTTTTAAACCACGCTTAGTTTACAAAACGAGAAGCTGGGTTAAATAATGTGTGGTGATGTGTTACACTGTCAGTTTTAATATAGTTATTAGGTGAATAATATAATATTTACATTTTTGGTACATCCTGTTTCATGAATATATGGATGTCAAATACGTTTATATATACGCGTAAATAATGTTTCTCTCAATGTCATCATCATTCCTGACTAGACAAGGTCCCCAGTTCCTTCCTGGTTTGGTACGAGGTCTGGTCAGAAAGTTCTAAGTCTGACTAACTTTCAACTATGGGCCATAATAAAGTGAACTGGTCAATGTAGTACATTGTTTGAGTAGTTCATCGCAAGTGTATTTGGTCTGTTAAGGCCGTTTGTATATTAGTGACAGTTGAATGTGATAGGCGTCCAAATGGACAGAGATATAGAAAAGAACGCGTATCGAGCAGTCATCAAGTATTTGACTAGAAATTCATGACCGCATGTCACAAGTGTATGGGGATGAGTGCCCTGTCTATTCCACTGTTAAACGTTGGTCAGCTATGTTTAAGGCTGGCACCATTCCATTTCTCCGGCACCAAAGAAATTCAAGTCTTCAAGATCAGTGAAGAAAGTTATGACCACAGTATTCGAGGATGCAAAGGATGTGATCCTTGTTGATTACTTAGAAAGTCAAAAGACGATTACGGATGCCTAATATGCTGATTTGTGTCATCGGCTGAGAGATTTTATCGAAGAAAAGCGGCGATAAATGCTGACTGCTGGAGTTCTACTATTACATTGTACATGACAATGCCTCTTCCAACACCCCTCGACTTGCAAAGGCTGGTGTGCGACAATGTGGGTTCCAAGTGCTTCATCATCATCCATATTCGCCAGACCTTCTCACCAAGTGAAGACCATGTTTCCTTAACTGAAAGAACACCTTCGTGGAAAGCCCTATGACGACAACGATGACCCCAAAGATGCCGTGGATGGTTTATTCAGGGTGGCTTTAGAAAACGTCTTTCTGACTTGAATGGAAAGCTCCCTGTCGATATGAGAAGTGTATTGAAAAGCAGTTGAAAAATAAAATTGAAAACACTTTCATAATTGTTGGTTTTGTTTGTTAGGCTTAGAACTTTTTGACCAGCCTTCGTAATGATTTACTCAAATGGGAATCGAATGGCCACAATGTCCGTTGACTATGGCTGGAAACACCTGCCTTCTGTTCACCAGTGCAAAGTATCCGTGGTTGTACCAACAAGCTTCACATATGCTTAAAGAACGACCTTACTGGCTGAAATGTTTGAAACTCGCTGGTTATGGTGTTGAAGTCGCCGAAAGAGGTACACACCATCAGCTTAAGGCAATGGGTTCTCCATTAAAGCACAACTTTAATATAAAGCCAGCATGACTAATATATGGAGTTGGTGAGCGTATTATTCTTTCACCACAGTTTTAAATACATGCATACCACACCGGCCTGAAAGACTCCCGAAAGGTTCTATCAATGTTGTCGGGGTGCGATTACACTCTAATGCAGCCAGGCTGAAGCTGATATTCCTTCCCTGTGGTAACGTCCTCACTTTGAAATCTAAACCGCATTAAACCGTGTCTCCATTGTCTTTGACAGTAAACCGATTTCCTTGTTTTTTATTTTATTTTTTATTCTATTACAACAGTGGATATATCTTGATTAATCACCAAGTATTCCGTGTGACGATCTAGTGATCCAAGCATATAATTGTGACCACTATTCTGACTTTTACGCCCATATGAGTCTGTTTCTACAGATATTCGAGACTAATTACTCTCGGGCATTGAATTTTTATAAGTCAGATTATTCCTCTGCAGCAGTGGGAATTGTCTCCATAGACACCAGGTCCTCGTTCTCAAACCCAAACATATTTCGTGCCGTTAAAATCAGAATGATAAAAGCGTCCGTAAAATCCCCAATTAGCAGCTACAAACCGTGAGTGTCCATGTCAGAATATTCACTGAAGGCAGTATTCGACCAGGCGCTTTCGTTACATTTTTTCGGACTTATGGTGAAAACATTTAATTTCTTTTCAATACGTACAATGTGTTTTATATATTTTTGTTTATTAATCAATGTATTGAGTCATATATTACTGAACCGTTTTGGTTTGGTTTTAATTTTGGATTTGTAATATAAATGTTGGACCTTGGATTTGATAAAAAAACTGAGAGCCTCCACTTCCAACACATTCCATTGATAACGCGAGCTGTTTGGTCACCGCGGCCCGGCAGTGTGTTCATGTTATCGGTGAGCATGGCCTTCGACGTGTTTTCACTCTGGAGAACTGTCTTGGTTATAACTGTTATAACTACGGACCGCATCCTTGGTCCAGTGGAAAGAGCGTCTGCCCGGAGTGCGAAAGGTAGGTGGCTCGATCTCCGGCCGCGCCTGACTAAAAGACGCTAAAAGATGGCACTTGTTGTTACTCTGCCTGATGCCTGATGTATCTCAGGGGGCTAGTAGTATAAAACCAGTATCAATTGGGACTAGTAGAAGCACACACACACACACACACACACACACACACACACACACACACACACACACACACACACACACACACACACACACACACACACACACACACACACACACACACACACACACACACACACACACACACACACACATTACCTCACCTGTGAAACACTCAAGTTTATACTCAAGTATGACTGTTGCTATAGCTACGAATATTTTAACATTGAGTTCAACCCAGGCATCCTAAAGATACCAACACCTGTTCACGTGTTGTAATTCCCGAAAAGCTTTTGAATATGTCACATCGGATGTGACTGATCGTCTTCTATGATAAATGTCCTGTATTTGGAGCACCATGGACATGTCGTAAGAACCGAGGGGTCCAGTGATCAGTGACTGGCAGACTCTGTGCCATCCTAACCCGGGACGTTACTCATGCTATCAACCATTGGTTTGGCAGGTCCAACCTTGATTATTCACAGATCGCCCTGATAGCTTCAGCTTTATACTGTATTCCTGGGAGGGAACATGTCTACAGTAACACATACTGGATTTGCCTCTTGGACGGAATATGACTGTAGCATCGCATACTGGATTTGCTCCTTGGACGGAATATGACTGCAGTATCGCATACTGGATTGCTCCTTGGACGGAATATGACTGCAGTATCGCATACCGGATTTGCTCCTTGGACGGAATATGACTGCAGTATCGCATACTGGATTTGCTCCTTTGACGGAATATGACTGCAGTATCGCATACTGGATTGTTCCTTGGACGGAATATGACTGCAGTATCGCATACCGGATTTGCTCCTTGGACGAAATATGACTGCAGTATCGCATACTGGATTTGCTCCTTGGACGGAATATGACTGCAGTATCGCATACTGGATTGCTCCTTGGACGGAATATGACTGCAGTATCGCATACCGGATTTGCTCCTTGGACGGAATATGACTGCAGTATCGCATACTGGATTTGCTCCTTGGACGGAATATGACTGCAGTATCGCATACTGGATTTGCTCCTTTGACGGAATATGACTGCAGCATCGCATACTGGATTTGCCCCACGGAACATGTCTCCAGTGACGCATACTAGTTCACATAAGTGACATTCCAGATTTTGCCGATTTACCTAACGGCGATCATCAGCGTTACATTGTGACTCGTGAGATGATCTTTGTTTAAACGTATTTTATTCACGGAAGTGAAATGAATTGGGGACAAGTTCTTATAAGTTAGAAAACCCCTCTCCATGGACATATACACTCTACAATTACATACAAACATAAAAAACGAGGTTGCACGTGCTGTCTATTCTTGTAAATAGATCGACGTTCGGTCTCGTGGTGTATAAACCCACTCATCCCGCTTGATCATTTACCTCGCACCCCACATATGTAATAGGAGATATAAAAACATTCTTGCACATGGTGAATGAATTACTGTTTAGTAAATCCCCGTGTTTGTGTTAACAATATACACTGTATTGTTGAAACGAAAACTATCCTTGTACGAGATGAATGAATTACTGTTTATTTAATCCCCTTGTTTGTAAAATATTGTATTTTTGAAACGCTACGATTATATTCCTATAAGCCCTCGTCCATCTGTAACTGCGTGTCTTCCATGTTGTGGTGGGCGTGAAACGATTTTCCATGGAATCAAATAACTCTGTAGAGAAATACTATGCCAGACATAACTATGAAATAATTAGGAATAATAACTCGAGACACTTGTCTCCATTTCCCCTCCTTTTCTAGAGAGTCCATGAGTGGCTCCAGCCGATCTTTGTATTCATCCACGTCTCTCAGGAACACTTCACGCATTATTATGCATATAATTCCGCCTGGAAAACAAAAAAAGTTATTTGCAATTTACACGTGTCAGAGGGGTACACAATGTACGTGATCTAGACTACCAGTTGGCGGACTTTCATGTTGTCGAAGCCTCGAGGGCTGAGTGGGTTATATCGCTGACTTTGTGTGCTGGCGATTAGGTGCCTCACTCTAGCAGTGTGGGTTCGAATCCCGAATGGGATTCAATCCAAATAAGTACTTGGATCCGGACAGTTGCACAGTTAGCTACTGGAGCCACATAGTGAAACACTGTTAACAGAAAAACAGTGTTTTCACTTTGAATTAGAGAAACCCGAAAAAGTCATCACACACCTCAGACTAGGTCTTGTAAGGCAGACCGAGAGTTCGAAACAGTTGATGATACCTTATTACAGGAATACGATTATTGCGACCAAATTATAGAATCTATGCTGACATGCTATCTTCACCAATAAATCTAAAATCTCAATCTGACAAATACACAAGCCAAACTGGATCTATCAATACTCCTAATGTGTTCAGCTGCTTAACATGACCAGAACAAGAATACTTTAAGCAGTGACCAAGCACATCTAGTACTCACCTGGTTTTACGATCCGGATCATCTCAGGAATTCCGGAACACGGAATGTGTCCCTCCCCCATCCCCCCGCTGGAGACGGCACAGTCGTATGTATCTGCAATGTTTCAAGGCTGATTATTCAGATCCCATTGAACGTAAACACCAAACAGTAATCATAACCATTGTTTACCAGTGTCTGGTAATGTGAGGTCATGAAGCCTAATCACACTAAAATACAATAACACCAGGAGTCAATACAATCAAAAACATTCATCTCCAACCCTCCAAGACGTTTAAAAAGTAATAAAATGATAATAATTATGTTTAGCCTTTTAGACTGAAAAGATAACTCGACAACATTTTGGTATTCAAAACGTTTTCAATCCTTCCAAACATTGCCGATTTCAATATGCCACACGATGAAGTTCCCAATCTTGAAAGTGCACACACTGGTAATACAGGATACGTTGAACCAACTCATAAAACGCGTTTGAGACAAGTAGGCGGTGTACAGATGTTGGGCAACCATATTTGGTTTGTTAGAGGTAGAGAGGGTGCACGCATGTTGTGCAAGTGCAGGTCATGACGATGTTATTGACTACGCTCCCGCGGACACTGGTGTTGTTCATCAGAGTATTAAGAGGTCGGTGTGACAAGTCGATACCAGAAGACTTAGACGAGACCCTCACATATCCATCGTTCTATTTGTCGCGGGCCACCCGCTACCCACCATACATTGTCATATGGGGTTAGTTGTCAAGTCACAACTAAACCTTTCCTGGCTTAACAGTAATAGATTGTACGTGGTATTTTTGGCAATTTCCGACAAGGTTCGAAAACCTTCGGTACGAACATAGTCTATCAGATTTACATTGTCTATTCATATGTTGACTGGTTTACCATTGGGGATAGGCAGTTGGACCTCGCACAGATACTCGGTATAATAGTCCTCGTACAGGCCCTTCTCCTTCGCTCTCAGCAGCATCTTGCTGGAAGGTTCCAGTGCGTCAATGTGAACAAACCCATGGGTCTTCAGCTGCAACAAAGGCGAGACATATTATGTCCTATTCCACATCTTTGTCAGTGTGGCTACTAAGACAACCCTCAGAGGGTTATCCTGGAAGACCCGATATGCTAAGAGGGCCAGTGTGTCACTATTGCTGTGTAGAACTGTACATTCGGACAATACAATATGATTCAAAATACAAAAAGATAAGGCAAACGCATTTTCACTATGATCGCGCCCGGTCCTAAAAATGACACGTCCCTTGTTTCATTGACCTTGAGTATATGCTTCTTGATGAAGAGTTATTGTGTGAACAAACTTCACGTCACTCTTCACAGGACTGATCAATGTCTCCAAGCAAAAATTCCTCAGTGCTATAAAAGAAATATATTTGATATTTTATCCTTGATATGGCCCTGAGCACTGCATGATTTCAAAACCAAAGTGCAGCGTTGGTCAAATTCTGGCAAAACCTTAAATCGTTCCCCATTTACATTGGGCTGCTGAATTATTTACTCAGATCCAATGACCTTACATGTTCAGCTACGAAGCCAGTTCCTGCAGCGATGTCTATAATCTTCTTCTTCTCCCTGTCGTCTTCAAAATAATCAGCAACTACCTTGCCTGCTATCATGGGGCCCTTGTACCGCCCTGGACAAAGATCCTGAAATACATCATCTGCTTGATAGGATTCAATGAAAAGGCTCGGTAGCTCAACTGCTTTTACTGGAATGTTTCCAACAATAGATTTATTAGAAAAAAACGTAAAAAGAATATACAAATAGGCCAGAGGATGAAACAAAGCTTTATAGCAGGGTCAAGCAACATTTTCAGTGATCCATTCATATAACTTTCACGGCTATTTTGCATCTTCTTCCCAATGGAATTTGTTTCGGCGCATGATCGAGACTGACTATTCTCTGGCATTGGCGTTTTCTGTTCACACTATGTTCCTACCTTCTCATATTTCCTACTCCAGGTTGAATATTGTTCAACAGCCTGAGAAATTGTTATGCCCTTTCTGTGAACACAGTGCGCCTCCCTGATCGCCTCGAAGTCTTCTTCGTCCCAGACATGGGGAATGGTTTTCTCACTCATCACTGGCTACGCTCCTCTGCTGATAACATATGGTGATCCTCGCTCTTTATGCTCTGAACGTTCTGTAGTCAGGTAGAAGGTTTATCAAGTACAAAGTGGCTCTGGTTCTCGATCCTTGTTCTCAGCTGATCAGCTGCTGTTCTCACGTTGATCTCAACAAGTTATCTGCCTCCTCTGCTAATCAAATCTGTATTTAAGGGGTAGCAGGAGGTCAAATTCCGGTGTACTTCAGGGTTGTTCAGTACAAAGCCTATCCCGAGCAAAGATAGATATAGCTGCGGGTTACAATACGGGGCTCCAAGACACACTTCCACGAACCGGATTTTCCCTTGAAACATACATGGAGGAATATTTGGATAGTCTATATTTTGGCTAAAAAGAATCAGATTATTCATGGCTTTGGCTAACTTTGAAAAATAAAAAGAATTACATACTAGTTTCAAAACCAAAAGTCTGATGGTTCAAGCACCATTTTAAAGAAAATTCTTTGTACTTGAGTTTGAATCCTTGAGTTTGAATCATGTCACTACAGGTTTAGGAAAACACATTCTTACTGCATTAGAATCTTAAACCTACCTTCCTGACAAGTATATAACACAGATGGTAGTACCTCCAGTTTGTATCATGTCACTACAGGTTTAGGAAAACACATTCTCACTGCATTAGAATCTTAAACCCACCTTCCTGACAAGTATATAACACAGATGGTAGTTTCTCCAGTTTGTATTATGTCACTACAGGTTTAGGAAAACACATTCTCACTGCATTAGAATCTTAAACCTACCTTCCTGTCAAGTATATAACACAGATGGTAGTTTTTCCAGTTTGTATCATGTCACTACAGGTTTAGGAAAACACATTCTCACTGCATTAGAATCTTAAACCTACCTTCCTGACAAGTATAGAACACAGATAGTAGTACTTCCAGTTTGTATCATGTCACTACAGATTTAGGAAAACACATTCTCACTGCATTAGAATCTTAAACCAACCTTCCTGACAAGTATATAACACAGATGGTAGTTTCTCCAGTTTGTATCATGTCACTACAGGTTTAGGAAAACACATTCTCACTGCATTAGAATCTTAAACCTACCTTCCTGACAAGTATATAACACCTATAGTAGTACCTCCAGTTTGTATCATGTCACTACAGATTTAGGAAAACACATTCTCACTGCATTAGAATCTTAAACCTACCTTCCTGAAAAGTATATAACTCCTATAATATTACCTCCAGTTTGTATCATGTCACTACAGATTTAGGAAAACACATTCTTACTGCATTAGAATCTTAAACCCACCTTCCTGACAAGTATATAACACCTATAATAGTACCTCCAGTTTGTATCATGTCACTACAGGTTTAGGAAAACACACTCTCACTGCATTAGAATCTTAAACCCGCCTTCCTGATAGGTATATAACACCTATAATAGTACCTCAAGTTTGTATCATGTCACTACAGGTTTAGGAAAACACATTCTCACTGCATTAAAATATTAAACCTACCTTCCTGACAAGTATATAACACAGATGGTAGTACCTCCAGTTTGTATTATGTCACTACAGGTTTAGGAAAACACATTCTTACTGCATTAGAATCTTAAACCCACCTTCCTGACAAGTATATAACACCTATAATAGTACCTCCAGTTTGTATCATGTCACTACAGGTTTAGGAAAACACATTCTCACTGCATTAAAATATTAAACCTACCTTCCTGACAAGTATATAACACAGATGGTAGTACCTCCAGTTTGTATTATGTCACTACAGGTTTAGGAAAACACATTCTTACTGCATTAGAATCTTAAACCTACCTTCCTGACAAGCATATAACACAGATAGTAGTTCCTCCAGTTTGTGTCATGTCACTTTAGGTCCTAGATCCTTTCATAAGGAAGCAGTTAGTACATCCGGTTTGGATTACCTAACACATTCATCCTGCACTTAACTAGCATGGCCTCTGGTTCTAGCTCAGCTTCAATTAAGTAATTGATACTTTCAGGTTTTTTATTGTCACTTCCGGTTATATAACAATCAGGTTTTCTGCCTTAAAACCCAAACTACAGTTATCACTGTAACATAATTTACAACAAAGTGTTTGGTCTTGTTTCAAACATTATTTAATTCCCAATTGCCCCAGTTGGTAGACTGATATCGGTCCATAAATATTAAACCCTCTTTATTTCTAAACGTCAACGTGGGAAATAATCAGTCCCGATTATTTGCCGTAACCGATTACAGAATAATGATGAAGAGTATATGAATGGATCCATGTGATGACACAAACAGTGTTAACCTGTCCTGCATAATGCTGATGAGGAAGTAACTTCCTCTGAATGTCTATCATTTCTGGAACGACTTGACCAGGACTCTTGATGGTGAAGCCTTGATGAAAAAGCTAAGCTGAAAACAATATGTGTCTTTCTATGAAATCTTAATAATAATTACATGCTCTGAAGTGCTTAAGCAACTGGCTGGGAAATGCAGAGGACAATCGTGATGTGAAAACAAAAACCATTCCCCCTTGTCATATAGCAGAAATGTAAAGAGCAAACTTTAAGGCTCTAGTTCATGGTTAGGCTGATATCTGTGCAAAGTTTGCTTCAGAAATATTGAACAGTCTTTGGCTTATGTTCCGAGAAACATACCCTACCCTCATTTGAACCAGTCCAGTTTTTTAAATATTCCTAAATAACAAAAGACACCAGTTCGTGACTAGCCTGATGTCTGTGCAAAGTTGGGTCCAGAAATTCTGCACTGTATCTGATTTATGCACTGGAAGCAACGTGGCGGAAGGACTTAAGCATACGACTTTTGTCAAGCAAAACTTAAAATTCCATTATTGAATGCCCCAAAAATGAAGACGCAACATATGTTTATACATAATGACACCATTCAATGTTTTCTATGCAGAACCTTTGAAGAAACGATTTATAAAGTATTTTTATAAGAAATCAGAAGCAGATTCCCCACAGGTCCGCAACCAAAGGAAATATTTGGAAACAGTTAACACGATTGGATGTTACCGAGTTAGGAGATAACTCCTTCTTAGAAAGTCTGGCAATATTTCAAGTGGAAGGTTCAGAGGAAAAGTGTTTGAAGACATAAATGCACTCACAAAATGCAACAAGAAACAAGAGTGAGTGCGTGCGTGCGTGCGTGCATGAGTGAGTGAGTGAGTGAGTGAGTAACGACGCTTTTGACAATATTCCAGTTTATCATGGCGTGTCGGCTTGATGTGGGAGGAAAGCCCGAAGCTTTGTAGGTATCTGACGTTTACCACTTTGGTGAAATCCACGATCACGGGTGTGGTGCTGACAAACCTAGCAACATAATCAGGGCGAACCGGGATTCGAACCCACAATCATAGGTTTCTGGCGTGCCAAGGGACGCAACTCTTCACTCTGCGCCATAGACGACTAAGAAAAAAAAAGTGCAACATATGGCATCAAAACTCCTTGCAAATTTTCAATATTGAACACGAATTAAGTTTGTATGGCAAAATTTATGAGAGAGAAGAAAGAAATAAAATCTAATATATCCGCAAAGAAAAAACAGATATCAGAAAAAGGACAACACAGTCTGATTTATTAAGTATCGCGATAATTAAATCCTAGAAAGTTTTTGAAACTAAAACAATACGACGATTACAATAGGGCTTCCAGCCATTCTGGTTTGTAGCCCTAATAAAATATACAAATTGACATTGTCTATCTCCCGCTTGGACAAACAACCATTCGAATAACCACGTGTAGTGACTATTAAACGAGGTCATGCACAACATGATTTAACATGGTTTATATGCTTGTATGTTTTTGCATTTATGAAATAAACAACGACGATCGTACAATAAAACACCGCGCATCTCGTGGTTTATTCACCTTGCAGTGTTTTATTGTACGATAAACGATCACGGGTCGTTTATTTCATATATGCGTTCCCCCATTTCTTGCCCTATAAAAATCCACCCAAATCGGATAACATTCATTCTTTATTGAATTGCTACCATATGCCAAGATTGACAAGAAATCAGACACACCAAGCCCTTGGACGATTGTAAGCTAGACAAACCGCCCGGCAAGTAGCCAATGCATTTCATGTCCACGTAAGGACCATATACAGGTTCCAGCAACGGTACCAGACCACCAACACTACAGATGACCGACCACGTAGTGGAAGACCAAGGGTCGCCACCCGACGTCAGGATCGTCAGATTGTGCGACAGCATCTTCACGATCGCTTTGTTACTTCTGCGGAAACTGCTCGACAGGCCATGGGGACACACCAGCGACACAATAGTGCGGACACCGTGCGTCGACGATTGACGAGCAGACACCTCTCTGTCACAGGCCACACCGAGGACCCATTCTGACACCACGTCATCGCCGGGACCGTCTTCCGTGGGCAACACAGCACCAGCATTGGCGCCACCAGCAGTGGAGAAGAGCCTCTTCTCAGCCGAGAGCCGTTACTGTATCTCAACAGCAGATGGCAGAGAGAGAGAGTCTGGCGACGCCGTGGGGAACGTTATTCGGATGCGTGTGTTGTTGAGAGAGACTCGTGGGGTGGTCCGAGCATCATGGTGTGGGGTGGAATTGGTCTTGCACAGAGGGTCGGCCCTGTTGTCTTCCAGAACATCGGTCCTGGTGGAGGCAATGGTGTCACAGCAGCTCGATACATTGATCAAATCTTGAGACCACACGCCATACCTCATTTGGTACGTCGCCGCAATCACGAGCTTCAACATGATAACGCCCGTGCCCACACTGCGAGAGCAACGAGAGACTTCCTTCAGCAGAATGGCATCAGAACCATGCAGTGGCGTGCCCTCACTCCCGATTTAAATCTCATTGAGCATCTTTTGGACGAGATTCAAAGACGGCTAAATGACGTCCGACCAAGGCCGACAACTGCAGCTGAACTGCGTCAGGTGCTTTCCCACGGCCTCCATCAACCGCCTCATCCATTCCATGTATCGACGCTGCACGGCAGTCATTAATGCACATGGCGGACACACGAGATGCTTGTGATACCATTTTCGCCGAGACTAGTGTTGTGTTTCACTTTAAGAACATTTGACACTTTAATTTCAACCTTGATGATCAGTTTTGCCAAGTTTTATCTTTTTAATATGTC